GGGTGTTTATGGCGGGAAGGGGTAGAAATAAATTAAGGACGATTTAACGACGATTCGTCGGTAATTCGTCGTAACTAACGACGATTCGTCGTAACTTACGACGATTCGTCGTTAAATCGTCCTTAATTTATATAATTTCTGTTTTAATTTATATATATTTAGTACACATATCTATAAATATCAATTAATTATATATCTATATATATCTTAGTTGGAGAAATTATTTTATTGCAAAATCATGACATATAATACTGATTACAAACTAACAGGAATCATTTTCAGATGACGTTGAACCTTCATCATTAGGTTCATCATCATTTTCCTCAAACTCATCTTCGTCATTTTCTTCCTCTATCGTCGGGAAGATATTCAGTTTGTCTGTTTTCAAGATCTATCAAGAGGATAGGATCAGTGCTTTCACTGGGTTCTGCGATATCATAGGTTTGATCTTCTTGCATTGGAAGATCCTCAACCCCCACAATTCGACCTCTCGGAAAAACTTTAATCACAGATAACCATTGAACACCCGATGTACGGACGCGTGGATATGGAACAAAGCATACTTGTTCTGCTTGTGATGCGAGTATGAATGGCTCAAACTTACTGTAACGCCGGGATTGGTTGACATCTACCGAGCCAAATTTGTTTTTCCGGATTCCTCGTCTAATTGTTGGATCAAACCAGTCGCATTTGAAAATAACACATCTCAAACCTAAGCAGCCGGGATATTCTACTTCAATTATGTCTTGCAGCACTCCATAGAAATCTATTTCACCCTTCACATATACTCCATAGTTAGCTGTAGCCCGATACGTCCCGTATTTGTATGTATGAAATTTTTTTGCATCTGCATTGGGTTCCTCATCATGGACAGGTGCAAGTGTGTTTGTGGTTTCGTGAAATGCATCTGTAACCATGTCTTGAATTCTATCATGATCAAACCTTTGCTGCTCTGCATGATAATATTCATCTTGATGCAAATTATTTGACGAGTCTTCAAAATTTGAAGCTTGATAATTGTTATTACTACTACCTGCACTTTCTCCATGCCCTTCTCCATGATGGTACCATATAAAGTAATGTGGCATAAATCCTCTATTTAATATATGCGACCACACTTTCGCGATTGTGATAAATTTTCTATTCATGCATTTAGGACAAGGACAATACATCATACGACTGACAATCGTTCTTGGGAGTTTTCCCGCCTCATGCATGAATCCCTCAACCCCCTCACTGAATTCTTTTGTCAACGATCCCGTTGAATCAATACGATTGTACATCCATTTCCGAATTTCATATATGGACGACATTTCGTATATATATTTAATATTCACTACCAAGTGAATATTTTTAAATTTAATACTTGTTACCAATTAAGTGATCAATTCAATCACTCTTATTTAGGAGCATTGTGATTTTTTTTGGGTTATGGGAGGCCCTATATATAGATTTTTTATTCTGCTTACCATCGAATTAACAACGTTATTTAACAACGAATTAACGATGAAATGTAGTTTAGCGACGAATTAACAACGAAAATGAGAATCGGGTTTATTCGTCGTTAAGTCGTCCCTAAGTTACGATGATTTAACGACGATTCTTATAATCGTCGCCAGATCATCGTTACTGCACGACGATGTAACGTCGAATTCTTTTCGTCGCCAATTAACGATACGATTTGGCGACGATTATAAGAATCGTCGTGCTTTCGTTGTTAATTCGAAGGGAATTTGCGACGATTCTTAATCGTCGTAAAAAATCGTTGCTAATCGTATACTTTCTTGTAGTGAATAAAACGAGACTTTGAAAACTGATTGAAACCAGATGGAATACAGAGTCGAGATATGATCTCTTTTCTTAACCCAATAAATCGTCAGTGATGTGTGTCTGTATGGAGTGATTTTTGAATCACATGATACAACCGTGATGAGACTATTATGTAACACCCATAATAGAATCTATGAACTGAAAAAACTATGTTATAATTAACTCTCAAGACACTTACGATATTTAGATGAGAGAGATTTGCTGGAAGAATTGTTTTATGTGTTTTTCAGTGTGTATAATAAAAAGAGATGAGCGTCTATTTATATGGAAGATTCGGCTTGATCCACAAGGAATAAGCTTTGGAAAAAAGGAGTATTCGTGAAATATTCTTCTTTTTCTGCAAGTAAACAGATTCAGATATCTTTATAGTTATTTGGACGCAATCTTTTATTATTTAAGATTTATCCTATCCCAAAGGAATTAAGAAGTCCACGACCCACGACCAGCTATATATAGCCCAAGAGCTCAGGAGCCCAAGAGCCCAAGAGCCCTAGAGTCCTAAAAGCCAACTAAAAATGCAATGAGCAATAAGCATGAGCATGAGCCCGAGCCCGGCACCAGCACTGGCAACAATGACGACACGCGTTTAGATGTTTTTACATAATGTCATTTTACTTCCATAAAGCTGTTTGACCCTTATTGTGAAAAGCTATATATATGCAAGATGTTTTCCTCTTTGTTAAGCAATGTGAAACTTTTACACTTCTACTTTTAGTTATAGCCAATGAGAACATTTCATTTCCATAGACTCAAACTCAAATCTCAAATGAATTTATAAGATTCATTTGCTTATTAAACTTTATTTCTCATTCGCATACAAATTTAATATTACAAGATCAATTGTTTATTAAAATTGAATTTTAACAAAAGATCGACTGGCCGCTGAGAGAGATATCATGAGAGCTGCTAACATTACAGAAAACTATACTTAATATATTTAAGAACAATTAAACAACAATTACAGTAAAATTATTAGAAAATAGTCACAAACCTGGAGAGTAACGTATTCAATATTGCTATTGGGGAATTGGGCTATGCGAACATACCCATTTTCTTCTACCTCCTCTCTGTATGAATCCTGAAATCACTAATATTCAACGGGATTTTCACGTTCACAACTTAATAACATCAATTATAATACATGTGAACTACATTGATAACACACACATATATATTAATATATATAATAAATTATGTAGAGTTAAGGTTATGAAAAGTACAAAAATAAATTAACTACAAATAATAAAAGTAGTTAAACGAAATATAACATGATATATACTCCAAACTAAAGTTAGTATTTAAGCATCAATATAACATGATAATACTCCAATAGGCTATTATCATCAGCAGGATTTGGCTTTAGAGTAATATTTTTACACCCAACAAAATAAAAAACTACAAGTTAAAGTTAAAAAAGTACAAAAATAGGTCAGAAGTAATATTTTGTATGAATTGACTTAATATGCAAACAACCCACTTACTTTTTAATCCACAAACGTAAAGTCAAAAAACATAAACAAATCCACAAATCAATCCAACATACAAGAGAATAACAAGCTTAATATTAGGTTTCCACTTTCTATAACACAATCAAATCAAAATTGTCCAGAAAGCAAAATATTTACACACAAGAAAACCAGCTAAAGAGTAAGTATACTTTGAAATTTATATCGAAAGCAGTGAACTTCTTTCCAAATATTGCAGCAAAAAGTTTTAACATATTACTTGCATCACGATGTTGGTCTTGTTTTTAGGAACATTGACCCTTTCTCTGATAATATCAATCTCATTACTTTTTCGTTGATGATGATTGAGTTAGAAAAATAACCCCTCTAGGCTGGAATCAATGAGAATGAGCTTTTTAGTTTAGTTTGATGTAGGGCTTGCATCAATTGCCTCTTGAACTGAAATGAATTTTCCAAAACCTTTGAGTGATATCTTGGATACCAAGTGTCTTTTGGTTTGGAATCTTGACAGATGATCATAATTGGAAAGATAAAAAGGAGGAAAATGGTGGGAATGATGGTTGTTTTCGTACACTGATTCATAGAGGTTTAAGACCAACCTAAAAAAATGTGCGTCTTGTTATATATTTATTTTAATAAAATTTTGAAAATTATAATGGTGTCTTGAAACATACAAAACACCAATAACGAAAACTTTTTTTGGTTAAAAATCATTAATGAAACTTATGGTATATGAAATTTTAAGGAAAATTTTGACCTTTTTTGCTTAAAATTTGCTCACTAAACTCATAGAATAATTATTTTTTACTTAAAAATTGCTAACTAAACTCACATAATAATTTTCAACCAAAAAAAAAAATTTCAGATAAGAATTAGTTTTAACCATCTCTACATTGATGAAAATCACCAATTCAATATCTCTTATGACCATAATTTTTAACGTGATGTACTTCTCAAACAAAAAGTCAAAACACATAATGTTAAACTACATATATATAAGCTTCATCACACATATATATAAGCTTTAATCATATATTTATATATGTATATATGTATAAACTTAATCATTTTATAGTGGCTTAGCCAATTGTTTTTTTTTCAGCCTTAAAGCACGGTACGGATGGTGGTGATTGTGTCCATGGGAATTCTTATCCGTTGGAGAAATGGTGGACAAAAAGGAAAGGAAGAAGAGAATGATGGTTATGGTTTTAAATTTAGAGATGATCAAGAAGAAACAATGTTTTGTGAAGTGTGAAGAAACGACAGAGGGGAAGGAGTTTGAGCTTCTTTTGTTTGGACTATGTTTTTTTTGTTTGGCCTTTTATTTCCGGGGATTTTAATGTTTTTGGCCGATTTATGTATTTCATTTCTTTTCTTTTTTTTTAGCTTTTAGGTTTGTCTAAATCTTCCTGTCTAATTATTTTTATGTATTTCATTTCATTTCTTTTCTTATGAACAAAGAGAAACAGAAATAACAAAAAGAAAAAATGTATCAAGATAAAAAAACATGTAAGAGGCATTAACATAATGTTTGTATATACAATTGCATTAATCAAATTGTACGGATTATCGGATTTTCAAAATTGATACGTGAAGCACCTTAAACCGGACCGATTTGTTCTATTTCGGAACGGTTTGGTTAGAAATTGAACAAACATACACATATTTTTATGTGAAATAGCCAATGACAATATCTAAGAAACTGTATAAATTATTTGAGCTATAATTCGATTTCAATGCCAAAGAGAAAAGTTGCATTCAATTAAAAGAAAAAAAAAACATTAAAACTATACAAGATTTTTTTGAAAGAAAACGAAATTGGCTTTACTCTGATACAATCTGATTCTTCTTCACCTTCTTCCTAAAGATGTACACATCAGTTTCCTCGTATGCGTATTCAGGATGTAAATGCTCATGAGGAACTTTCTCGATCTTAAAAACGACGTCGCATAGCTCCCAAAATAGTTTATCAGCTTCCGGCGACCTAATCTGGTAACCAAGCAAAACCGCGCCGTCTTCCGCCACAAGCGACTCCATCGCCGTCACTAGCTGCCCAACCGATTCCTCGATGTACACAACATCCGCCGCAATCACCAGATCGAACGGCGGATTCAGCGCCGAGATCTGATCCTTATTGTTCCAGTAAACGATCGAGGTTTTTAGGGATTTCCCAAGCGCCGCCTTGTTCCGTTTCAGGTTGTGTTTGAGCGCCGGCATGACCGGAGAGATGTCGGTGAGCACGATCTCCGTTAGACCTAGTAGGTGAAAAGCCATACCGGCGACTCCGCATCCGGTTCCTAGCTCGACGGCGCGACGGCGGCGGAAATCGAGGAGCTCGGCGTATGGATTTGGAGACGACGATGATGATGATGAGTCCACCGTGGACCACCGCTCGGCGAACTTGGCGAGGATCAGAGAGCATGGCCACACGGAGGTTCCGACGTGCATCGAGCCATTGTCTTGCTGGATTGAGAGTCGCGTGCCGTTCACCGTCAGATCGATCACCGGAGAATCTGTGAATTTCATTTTTTTTTCGTCTTCTCTTTCTCTCACCCAATCACTCTCTCCTTCTCCGACTCTTTTGTGTGATTTCCTTAAGGGCTTTCTTTTATTCACAAATGGGCTTTACTTTGGGCTTAGAGCTCCTTAGTGGATTACCAAACCAGTAATGTAATTAGTTTTTTTTTTTTTTTTTGACAGAATAATTCGATTCTCGAGTTGATTGTATGTATAATCTAAAACGTATATATGTTGGTGCATAATTTATACATTTCGATATATAGATCATTCTCTACTCAAGTATGTTTATAGACATCTTTTTTTAAAGAGGTATGTTTTATAGATATTGTTTAACCATTGTTAACTCTAGAGTGTCAAGCATTATTAGTAAGATATAAAAAAGGATGTCACTAGCAAAAGCTAAAGTTTGGTAGTTGGTGCTAATACTTTTGTCTTGAATGGAAAATGAAAATTTGACGGCAACGAAAAAATGGACAATGGAATTTTTCTGCCCTACATGTTTCTTTTATTGGGTCAAATCAGAAATGTTTTGTTTGTTTTTCATCAATCAGAAGTGTTCATTATTTTCCTTTTCGAAATTATGTCATGCATATATCTTACACCTTTCTCCGAAATAATGCATTTATACAAGACACAGCAGAAAAGAGTATAAAATACTGTTAATAAATAGACCTTAATTTTTCTATGTTTTTTGTTATATTATATGATGTTATCGACCAAATTTCATATTGTAGATCAATTTGGCAGAAAACTCAAAGTTTGTTCAAAAAGAATTTGTCTTTTTTTCTTATATTTATAAAAGTATTGCATGCATAAATAAATGAGACTGAATCTTATTTTCTTGAGAGCAAAAGGGAGATAAGGTAAAAGGTGGAAAAAGCCTAAGCTAGGAATATCAAGCTTTTTCTTTCTTTTTTTTCTATTCTTTACCTCCACTAAAAGTATAATTTTTTTGCCTTTGAGTTACGTTAGGGTTAGGATTTAAATAATTGAGCTCCAAAAGTCTCCACCTTTCATTGTCCCCACCACTTCTCCACTCTATCTATGCTTTTTTAGCTTTGTATATCCTTTGCATACAAGAAGCAAATTTAAGACCTTTCTACTCTTTAATGGAGAATATGCATGGATCTTCACTTTATCTTCTGCACCGAATATGCTTATAAACCCAATTTTTCCTTGAATTCATTTATTCTTTGACCCAATATATATGTGAATCACTCTTCCACCAACGATAAGAACTTTGTTTTCCTTTTGGGTTAATTAAATGAGAATAATTTACTATAATTTAAAAATATTTTAATACCGATCGTGATTTGTTGTAATATAATCAAAATTCATTAGATTTCTGAATGTCTTATTTCCTACTTATATCCTAAAGATCATTTCTTGGATATATTTTGTTGGAATAATATATAGTTAAATTCAAAGATTTTGAATGTCTTGTTTTCTATATGACTATATCCTAAAGATCATTTCTTGGAAACATACGATGAATACGTAACGTACATGATCTATAAATCTTGATGATAATATCACATTTTAATAAAAAAAAACCTTGAATTACTAAAAGAAAACATTTCCATTACCATATGCGTTCTTAGAAAATGGTGGAAATTACAAAAGATTCCTTGTCCTTTTTCGTTATTTAAGCATTACCCCCGAAACTTTAAAATCGTTTCAAATCCATCCATTGATAGACGATGGATGAGGGCACAACGTTTGCACACCGACCCCAAGGAAATCCCGAGTTTGCCCTCCTCCACCTCCCTCGCCTCCTCCATCAACTCTTCTACGTTTCCAAGGGTAATTCTGTAATTCATCCAACGCAGACGCAACCGTAACGTCATTTCTAGCGTTCTCAATCTCCTGATCATGACTATGATTCATCAATCCAATGTTGTTGTTAGATCCGAACAAAGCGAAGAACTTTTCTCCGGAATCATAAGTGGCGGTTTGATCGGAGGATTTTAGCGGGAAACTCTGGAGAATCGTCGACGGGTCTGTGGTCATCGCCGTCGTCGACGAATTGGCGCCGATTTCAGCCGCTTTCTGAAGTAACGCTGTAGCGGACATATTCGCGTTTGCGTTTGCGTTTTGTGTTTGATCGCTGCTGAACAAACAAGGCACAGAGAGAGAATTAGTAGCAGTAGTAGTGGTCGAAGTCGCGTTTGCGTTTTGTGTTATGAGCTCATCGTGATTGTTGTTATTAATGCACGTTGCAGACGCGGCCTTAGCGTTTCCGAAAACCCAGTCATAATCTTGGGGTTGGGTTTGTGGCGGCGCGATGTCTTGTCCCATCCATAGGGAGAGTGAAAGAAAGAGGAAGACGGAGGTAGCGGCAGAAAATGATGATGGTTGTTGTTTTGATTCGTTGGCGGTTGCGGTACAAATGGTTGAAGCGGTGGGTTGAGTGTTCCCATGAGATATTGATAGTTTAGATTAATTCCTGCGGCTCCAGCCGCGGCTAAACCGTTGAGATGAGACGCTGCGTTTATTTTAGCGGTTTCTTCCGCTAACGCATCGCAGAAAGCTCTATGAGTGATGAAACTATCTCGCCTGTTTCAACCAAAAACCACCATTAAATTAATCAACATTTCTCTCAATGCTTTAAATCGAAGTTTTAATTTGATGAAAAAAAAAGAAAACTAAGTACAAAATTACGTAAAAATAAAAAAAATTCATTGATTTGTCAATGAGTTGATGGTTTTACGCATATTAAGTAAAAACATAATGTTACCATTTTGAACCATACACACATGTATATGTATCTATTATTATATCTACCTATGTTATATGTTCATCATTGTTACTAGTACAAACTTGTACCCTTTTTGTCACAATGATCACACTAACAAAAAACATTTCCCAAGCAAGAAACTTTACCCTACTTCAAGAAGACAAACAAAACACATAGAAAATGACAAAAACATAGTCATACTTATAAAACTTAATCAAACTAAAAGAAGAAGATGTAGACACAATAAAGCAGCTACTATAGAATAGCTTTCGAACATGATTAATATAAACGACAACATCTATACATATATACTTATAATACATACCTGGAGAAAATGGTGCCACAGTCGCAACGGTACTCTCTAGTACCACAAGTCTTGGAATGAGCTTTATAATCAGAATGAACAGCGTATCTCTTGGCACATTTCTCGCACTTCCACTTCTTCTCGCCGTGTTTCCTACAGAAATGTTTTTTGATTCCGGTGAGATCGCCGAGGGCTCTAGAAGAGTGATGGTGGACACAAGTCTTCTCTGGACAAACGTAGACACGTTTCCTCACTTCTTTGCTCGTCCTCTGCTTTAGCTTCCATGGAAGATTGTGTCCTCGGCGATGAAGCTGTAAGTTTTGGTCTCTTTGGAAACCTTTGCCACAGACCTCGCATAGGAACCGATTCGTAGCCATCAAGGTCTTGGGAGATAAAGCTATTACTTCAGCTTCCGGATCTATGTAGATCATTAAGATTTTTGGTTTCATTTATTAGGTCAAACAGGAAAACGCTGAATATTTGTTTTGGATTGGATCATGTATTTTAATCAAATTTGTAATATTCTTTTTTTTTTTTTGCTTTTCTTTGTGGGGTAATAATAATAAGAAACAACACAATATCTAAGAGAAGAACTCTATAGACCATAGCAATTTTTAAATTTACAATAGCCTCATCTTCTAAACTTTAATTAAGCATTCAAATATATATCCAATTAATGATCATATATATAACTCATGTAGCCAAAACAATAGTTTGGATATAGGTCAAGATCCAGAACAAAAAAAACCAAGAAAATTATTAATAGGAAGGAAAAGTTGAAAAAGATTCTAGGGTTTTTCTTTGTAGGTGATGATCAAGCTTAGATTTAAAATAAATAATTACCAGGATTTCCAGGGAGATTTCTCTTCTTCTTAACAAGATGAGGGTTGATGAGAGATTCATCATGATCAAGAGTTGATGAACTCTGAGCAAATCCGGATCCGCTAGAGACTGTCTGAAGAACTTCACCTGTCATGTCTTCTTCTTGGTTCTTGACTTCACTTGTAAGAGAAATTAAAAGTAGGTTTTTGTTTATAGTTAGAGAGGGAGAGAGAGAGAGAAGGAGAAAGGAGAAGGAGACAAAACGGTAATATAAGAGAGAGATTAGAAATACTAAGAAACCTGCAAGTAAACTATATGAATAAGAAGAAAAATAACAAAGACAAAGATATATTGGGTTGTGTGGGTGTATGAGCACCTTGATCTGTTAAACTGTTGCAGCCATCTTGACTAAAATAAAAGGTTAATTGTTATTTTTTTTTCTTCATCAATTATCAGATTATTTTAAGAGGGCAGAAGTGGATGGCGGTGGAAAATCATAAGCTGAAAGTGATAGCATCAGAGCAAATGAAAATTTAAAAATATAAAGATGCAAATATAGAAGAAAAATTGCATGCCTCGAATATATTATAGCTAGACTCCAATCTGTATTTGGAGTTTCACTATATATCAATTATTTGACTATAATATTATTAGACAAAAATCTTTCTTTGGTGGTTGTTTTCATTATTCACGTCCTAATCTTTGGTAGTTCAATTTCACTTTTTAATAGGCATTTAACCAGATATTTTTTATGTTAAAACTTAACAAAATATGTTGGTGTTGTTTACTTAACAAAATAATTTTTTTTTGGTTGAAACTTAACACAATTTTTTGGTGTTGTTACTTAACAAAATATTTTGTTAACAGCTCATCTCGAATTTGGAAAGCTACAAATCGATTTTTTTTTTAATTAGATATAAAATTACATATTTGATGTTGTATGATGCATAACCATATGAATATAATTTAAACTATTTGAATTTCCTGTGGAAGTGCGTTATGACACATAGAAAGTTAATATTTCTGCCTTTTCTATTTGGAATGATTATCCTGTTATTTGTGTTGCCCTTTCTTCTCCATTTTTCGTGTTTTTCTTGTCCTATAATTACTTACTTTTTGTCCCTACATGCTCTTGCTAACTTAGTGTAAATTTATTTTCTTACTAAATGATTTTTTGTAATCTGAAAGTTTTACAGTAAAATGAACTATACTTACTAACTAATATATATGTATATAGTTGCAACAGTATAAAATCATTAAACATTAATATAAAGGTTAATATAAAGGTTATAACTAACTTAACCTTCTTGACGAAAAATAAAAATACCTTTACCTTTTAAAAAAGTATTTTTTGACATATTGTTAAAAAAATTTAATTCGTTACTGTTAAAGAAATAAAAAAACATGGTTAACTAGATCAATCCCATTAAGTACCTTTATGTTTTTGTTGGTTTTAAGGTTATAGTTTTAGAACTCAAGTGTTAAATCTGTACAGAAGAATATTGTTTGGGCTTTAGACTTATCATCTTTCAAAAGAGAGAAAAGTAAATTAAATAAATTGAGTGTGGATACTATTCAAGATATTTGCTCGTGTAATATTTGTGAAGTTTGACTGTTTAAGACTCATGTAGTCATGTATAGTACCGAAACCATAAGCTGAATAGTGTGTTCGTTGGAAAATCTGGTCAATAATATTCATCTATTATATGAATCAAAGAAGTAAAACAGATCTAACGGTGATGGTTACATCTCTTGTTTGTCGAACAAAGTCTGCAATGCACGTGTACCCATGCACGTGCTCTTTAGGTATAATCCAACAACGTACGACAAAAAAGACCTAAGATAAAATTAGAGATGCATTCAGACTTAGAGTCCGTTCGACCGTGACATAAAATTTTTCTTTATGAAATGTTGAAATTTTATTTTTACGATGAAGCTAGCTGAAATAAAACTCTTTAGAACATATATAACTCTTACATTAATTTTCGCCTACTTATTTATTTATTACCTAACATTTTGTCTTTATGAATATTGTTTGCGAATTTGAGAAGAAACTTTGGTGACTTTATTGAATGGTAGATAAGCGTTTATTTTTTCATGTTTTTTCTATAATATTTTTTCTCCATTCTCCTTTTTATTTTGACATCATCCATTCTCTTTTTATTTCACCCTTTTCTCTTTAAGAAAGTGATATTAAGTAACAAAACGTATTTTTCTTTTGAAAAAGTGAGATATGTCCTTACAATATATATATATATATATATATATATGTGTGAGATTTAAAAATTATAATCTATATCTACTACAAAACATAACAATAACTATATTGGTTTGAGATTCTATCTTTGCGAAGTTATTATCCATCTCATGCGACTATAAATCACTTAACTTGGAATATCATCAAACTGAGCTTCTACATTACATTATCATTACATTTTGACAGTTAATTATCCCAATTCCTAAACTGTTTTATCTTCTTTTTATTTTTTTTTAACTTGTAAGCTCTAGATGTCTGGCTTAAAATCTTTATATATGAAAGCGGTTCTTGATAAAAAAAAACCTAACCAATCTACAAATTAAAACTGTTTAGTCTTTCACAATTTGATATCAGCTCAATAACTATAGCTGTAATGTTATTCGACGACTACCTAATCGTACATTAAGCAGCTGTTTCATATAATTTATTTAATTTCATGTTAATATACAATTTTATTATGCATGATCATGATAAAAACGAACACATATAGATGTAGTGCATCAGTCAGTGGAGTGTACATATATCAACTATTTTGATGTCTTTACCTCGTTAATTAAGAGGATAATTTAACTGATTGCATTAAAGTTTTATTTTATCGATCCTCGAACAAATAGGAATCAACTAAATCGAAATAAAGTATTTTTGCCCTAAGCTAAGACGTGAAATTATCATGGTTTAATTAAAAAGAATAAAGGTGCATGCGACATAGAACTGACAAAAGGCAGGTAAGGTTTTGGAAGTCGACTGCTTGTGGGCTGACTTAATTAACAATTCTTTTGAAGTATAATTTAAACTTTAATCATAATGTAATGATGTTTTTAAGAGTGTCCTTTTTAATGTTAAGACTGGTGATACTTTCTTTACTATTAATTTTTGGATTTTTCTTCTTGAACTATGGTGGCACCAGAATATTCTCCTACAATTTTCGAGACTTTATAATATATAGTATTGCTCCCTTTGCTCTATGATATATAATAAAGATTCCTAGACATAATTCTTTAAAAAAATATAAACGTGTATGTTGATATATATCGGTGAACATCATGTTCCTATCGATTAACATCGATCCTTGGAAAAAAATCGAATTTGATCTAAATAATCACATATATTATATAGTATAAGGTAGTTGTCTAACCAAATTTTCAGATTTTTACTTCAAAAATAAACTAACTTTTGTTTATTTTGTTATCTTGGGTCAATTTTTAACTTGTGTTTGAATATTTGTAGTTTGTTAAATAAAAATATGTAAAAATAGCATAAAATTGCAAAGTAAGACAGATGTGGATCTAAAGGGTACATTACAGATATACCACATGCTCTTGGTTCATAAGAAAGTAGAAGAATATATACTTTTTTGCAGATGCATTATTAGGTTAAAATGCAGACATCCCTTTGAGATTTTGCCTCGTTCGTTGGGAGATAAAATAAAATAAACATAAAAGAGTGCCAATAATATATTTAAATAAAATATGAAAAGCACTATACAAAAATACATATACACCATATGTAAAATATATACGGTTATACCGGTCGTTAAGTTTTATGCTCGCGAGAAATTGTTTTGTAGATTTTGACTAGAACTAGCTAGAGTTCAAAAATTGGAGTTCAAAGGTAAAGGTTGGTACCTATAACTATGTATATTGTGTATTTATGATATACATGTGTAAGTATATACATATATATATATATATTGATAAGTATAAAGTATATATATATGGAAGAGGGTGCGATCGATAGACGACATATCAAAGAAGACAAGGGATTAGATTCATGGCATTAAAATTTGGCGATATATATCAAATAAAGAAGATACGATTAGAGTTAAAAGTATACATATGTCACCTAGTGTATGATAATGTTGTTCTTGTTTTTACTCCCATTTTGACCAATCCAATACATTAGGTCAGTCACTATAGACAACTATTACAAGACGAAAGAAACATTTTATTTTTGTTTTCCATTTCTATTACCAACGTTATAAGTATCTCATTAATATTACATGATCAGACAGTATTCTATAATAAAAAAATCCGACACTGTGCTAAGAAAATTGTATAGATATAGACCAATGATTAAGGTTGATTAGACTAATTGACTATACATGCGGTTACATACTTTCCATACATTAAATGGATAGCTGGTCTTAATTTTTTTTGGACTACCATAATTTGATGGACATTTTGATAATGGATCTAGATATTTTATGTAATTTTATTTACATGGCGTAGTTAATTTTGTTAATTTTTGTTACACATAAATTTACCCATGTTCATTTAAGTTTGTAGTCAAAACATTATAACAAGAAGACCCATAAATAAATCTCAAAGTCGCAAGTTTTTTTTTTTTTTGCAAATATATAACTCTTGGTCCCCTAAGGAACCGAGTAATACAAAACATTCACAGCTAAATAGTTGTATTTCCATATATATATATATATATTTGAAAGAATTGTATTTATATTTTAACCAGTAGTGGTTCTATACAAGCTAACTTTTCCATGGAACTTCCTGTGAAAATTTGAAATGGGACCTTGATTAAGATTCTCTTTAATGGGTCATAAAAGTAACTAAAAGATAAAGTCACACTCTCCAATCTTTTCCACAAAGTTGATAGAGACTCGATCGGGCTATCTATTACAATTAGTTCTAATCGAGAAATAGAGTTATATCTCTAAACATAAAAGTGGTTCTTATTTGTGTCACATGCACACATAATTTTATATCTTCAATTCTCATTGATGATTTCCACGTCTATATGCTATATAATAATTTCTGTTGAGTTGAAACCTCCAGTTTTTTTTATATATATAGATATCTTGAAAATATTTCTTGAACATTTTTTCTTAAATACTAAAATAGACATATTTGTTGTGAAAAACAATTTCGGAAAGACGTTCGCATATATGCAAACACTAGAAAAAAGAGACTTAGAGAGAGAATGAAAAACAATATCAAATATCTTTTGTTTTTTTAACTAGATTATGTTACATTTACAAAGCCAAACTCACC